TATATGCATTTATAAGCAGTCGCAAGTATACATATTTACATATATATGTATAAATAAATAAACCGTATATGAATACAGATAATAATGGTTTTCTCTTCGGCACCTAAAGTAGCACAAAATGGGAATTAAGCAAAGCAGTGGTGGTGGCGTAAGCGCGCCTTAAGTGCTCGTTAAAATTTATTAAGATCATTTGGAGGACTTCACAGAAACTGTTTAAACACAAAATGATATCTTCTCTTAGAGGCCACTCTTTGTTTACACAATTGCACTTATGGGTGGGCGGATGACTGTAGGTGTGTTTGTGTGTAATTTGGTGCAAGAATAAACGGTTGTTGCATTTAGAAAGCCACACCAGCGAAATATACACAGATTTTACATTATTCGACTTAATTCTATGCATATGTACATTTGCATATGTATGTTTGTATATTTTCATGTATATATACCATATATATGTATGCACTTGTCGTGTGTATACTTGCATGTATTTAATAATATATTAACTACATATGTATGTAGGTACATATGTACATATATATATCTGCATAATGCTAGCTAGTGTGAGTATGTGATTTTATATAACATAAGTAGTAGAAAGCGGACCGTGTGTGTGACCCCCTCTAAGTGAAGTAAAGAGCAGATGACCACTTAATGGAGACAAGCCGCCAACGCTTTATTCATTAATCTTTGAAATTTATTGTCAATAAGGTAAATATATGGCAAGTATCTATGCAGTTTCTGCATACGATCAATAAATTTGCAGTAAAGAACCACATAGAAGTCGCAGTAAAGTGTTTATAAAAAACATGTCAACTCTCATAGTTTTCATTATTTACATTTGAATTTTTTGCGAACTATTGTATCGCATATGCATCTATATACATACATACTACATATGCGATACACGCAGGTATTCTGTATACATCAAAGTGAAAAGGAAGCAAAATGTCGACGCTCAAACACATCCACACACATGAATATTTTTATATAAACTAAATGCACGTAAATATATTTCTTGCTCATTGGCAATAACCGGTTTACGTTTCTGGTATTTTATGCTTATAATTCTCCGTTCATCCACAATGTCTGCACCTCTACACACTTTTATCGACATTTGTAAATATATAAACCACATACACACAAAAGCTGAAGCACATACGAGTATTCGAACAAAGTTGTCATTTAACACACAACAGGTACATTTCTTGTTTACCTATCCAGACTCCTCGCTTGACCACATTGTATGGCGACCGGTTTTTTACCTGCTATCAAACATAACTTTTCTTTAGTGATTATTGTATTAAATATGGCTTGTTTGTTCCTCAGTTTGAGGTAAAAAGCATCCTCACCTTTCTTCGTTGAAAAGTTATATTGTATTGTATTTTGTCAATATTTTTGTTGTACAAATATACTATATATAATACAAAAATTTAGTACATGTACAATCATACATACATATGCACATGCATACAGTACAGTTAAAAATCAATCGATAACAGGTAACCGCCTTGCTTGGCAACATAATGCCACAAAAAGAAAGAAGGGGTGACATCTTAAATTTCTTACAAAATGAGATTCACTTCCAAGCAATCATAAGATTTTATTCTACAGCTATCTACCGTCCTCAAATATGTACATATGTATGTAAATATTTACGAGTATTATTTTATGCGCATTGCAGTGTAAATATGTATTGTATATAGATAGTTTAAGCGTGTTTTGGCGATATCGGACATACACAAATATAATTTTAGCAAAAATAGAGTAAATGCAAACGGCTAGTTTTACAATCATAATTGTTGAAAGTCGGTCAAGTACCGATAATTCACACATACTTACGTAGGCATTTACTTTTGACTGCCATAAGTGCTTGCTAGAGCCACATGTTATTTTTCATGCTAACACAAATCACACCACTCCACGTTGCAGTTGCCGTCCAATCATAACTGAAAATGCCCTTCTCACACTATCTTATCAAATTTCATGTGATCTAATCAGTTTGAAATGTCAGTTTAACTGATACTCACATTGTACACACATAAGCATTTGGCTGAGTAAATATTTCTTTATCACCTAATGGCAATGATTCGAAATTTTTTCCAAATGATTAATTGTAGTTTAAAAGCAAAGTAAAACTGCATTACAAAAACAAATTACAGAGCCTAAATATAAATTCTACGAACACATTCAGTGTGTACTATTATTCAATGCAAATGGTGAATGAGGGCTTAAACATGAACAGTTAATAGTTTTACCTTTAAAATACAAAAAGAAACTTAAGGAAATGGGCTAAATTTTCCAAGTCCAAGAAGTGAAAACAACACATACAAAATGAGTAAGTAAAGAAAATAATCCTGCAGCTTCTTGAACTTACAATTTTACTCGGGAGGAAACACAGAAATATACTGGATTCTGGTTGAATTTGTAAATGCGATTCAGTTCAAGTAAAATCCAAACTTGCTTTTTACATCTGTCTTATTTCGAATATTTAATTCGTTAACTTCGGTATTCAGAATTAGAAGTTTAATAGAGCTAGTAATTCTAGGGCAGATAACACTACAGACATCTGCCGCTTATAAAGCACTCATATTAACGGTCATACATGTTCATACGTACATACAGTTATTGTGAATACGATAATTGTGTCGATGTAAATGGAATTGAGCAACGGCAATATTATTGCGTCGCAATATCTGCCGAAGATTACGAGTCTGCTTTTTAGCACCGACTTGCAGGTTTTGTTATTGCAATTTTCGATAGTTCCGTGTGAAGAATAACAAAAAGTGATATGGAAATATTTACGGGATATATAAAATGCTGGTGGCATCGTCTTGTGACTTATACTTTTTATATCATATTTTAGGCACATTTTCTTATTATCTATGTACATATGTTACCATACTTACTCGTATACCATTCTTACGTAAATAGTTTCAGTAGTTATTAATGATAAAGGTATTTGAGTGCTGACAGAATTTGTACAATGGCCTCCGACAGTTTCCGGTACCACAGTTTGGGATAAATACATACATACATATATTTCACACCAATTTGGAAAGCAACAATTATTTTTGGTTCAGTTCAACAGAGCGTATGAGTAATATTCAAGTGCCAGAAGATTTACTTGAAGGAATTGGACGTTATTGTTTTACCAAAACATGTAAGGAAGGGCTAAGTTCGGATGTAACCGAACATTTTATACCCTTGCAACTTGCAAAGAACAAAGGCGGAGGAACACCTTCAGGTTTTGGCAAAACTTAATATCAAAGTAAGGAAAGTATCGCCGTGATTTCATTCATTTAAGGAAAGAGGATACACTAGAAAAGTATTAGATGCGGTATAAAGTGAACCGGAGTTTCGAAAATATTTATGTTAAGTATATGGGGGCTAGGGGAAGTGTTGACTTACTTTTACCCAGTTCCTTTGAGGGCACTATTTGAGCAAAGTTTTATTCTGATGAACTGAACTTTATTGATGTTTGATTTATATACTGCAAAGTGAAAAGAACAAACGATATTTAAAAGTTTGTTATATGGAAATTAGACGTGGTTAGGCAGGCAGGTTTTCGGTAACCTCACACACCAAATTTGGTTGAAATCGGTCAAGTAGTTCCTGAGATATAGGATTTCACCTAAGGGTGTTCGGCACCACGCTCCTTGTCCAATTTGCACACCAGATCCTAAAAAGCCCTTCTCTACCATCCTGGTTGTGAAATTTTATGTTTGTGGCTTATTTATTCAGTGGGTTATAGTACTTTTAGTAGTTTTCAACACAACCGCACAGACAGTCACCCGGATTTCAACTCGTCTCGTCATCATGATCATTTATATCTGTATATAACCTTATATTTATCTCGATTTTTTTAGGTGATACAAACAAGCGTTACGTGAACAAAACTATTATACTCTGTAGCAACATTATGTAAAAGTATAAAAAACTCGCGTTTTTGCAAATATTCAGTTTACGTCCAGCCTCCCGGGCAAATGATAAATTTATTCACATTACTCGCATCTGAACGTCGATAAGGGCAAACTATTTAGGCGTGTGAAAAGCTTCAGAATGTTTTTAAGTGGATTTTCTATCCTTTAAAAGTCGTGTGGCAACCGTTTGACCAATGGTAGCGTATGGCTGTGTCACCTGCCATTTTCATTCAAATATTGATTTTATTTGAGCTTTATAATTATAGCTTTCATTCATGGTGTGCCCGTCCTGAAGAATCGCTTGCGCTTTTAATAATAATTTATTTTATCGATTTTTCTATCAATAATGCAGCGAATCGCGAATGTTTTATACATTTGAAGAGCGTGTGACCAGATGTGCTTCTATAGTATAATTTGTGTAATACTTACATACACATGCATATGTATATACATATGGATATGTATATGAATATAATGTTTATAAACAGAACGTCATGAGGAACAAAAGGGTAAAATGGCGAATGAGGCTATAATTTGATTTTGCACTCGCTTACGTATTTGTGGGTAGGTGTGTGCGTGGTTGAATCAATCGAAGCGAATAGTGATTTCGTGTACATTTTATCTTAAAAAATTAATATTGGCATTTTCCCAATATTATGGCTGAACACCTATGTATGTATGGATGTGCGGCAATTGACGTCAGTGCGATATTGAATTTTACCGCACTTGTAATTTTCTCATTGCACTTACATACATTTATTTTAATTAATATGTAGTTATGTAAATGTTTATGAGCTATGCATGGCCGCTTTCGCGCGAAACATATTATATCAGTTATTGTTTCATCATTCTAAGCAATGTACTGTATATATGTATACATAACTTCATTTAACTCATGTTGGATCGTAGGGCCAAATATACTAAGAATACGAAAATACTATTGTATTTCAACTGTAATTTTATATATAAAATTATAGTGTTTTCTGAGCATGTTCTACGTAGCTAGTGATTTATAGATTATAATATCTCCATTATAATTTTTAAAATTTAAGCGTTTTTACTCAGTTCTTTTCATTACAGGTATTGAAGGCTCCCACCACTCACACATCGCCTTTCACAGGGCAGACTCTAAAAAAATTTATAAATCTTATATTAATTAATGGGCTTTACGTATGTCGAATTATTGCCAACAGAAATACATGCATACATACGGACCTTTATTAGCACGACCCACATGTGAAGCAGGGATCTGACGTACATATTATATTACTGTATAATCAAGTAATATGTACAAACATATTCCATTCTCCTAATATGTAGTATACTCGTATGTATGTACGTAAATTTTACATTGTGTTATTTGAGAACTTTCAATAAAAATTGTACTAACACAGTATTTAGCATGAATTCTTTTCTACCACACATGAAATAGCCAATATATATGTACGGACGTATATAAATGTGTATGGGCAATAAATACATGCCGTACGTGTCTGACTAAGGCTTGAATTCATTACACAACCGGCGACCACACTTTGCTGAGCGTAATTTGAGACTTTCGAAAGGTGTTGCGCATACCGAGCAAGCACTTTCCAATGAATACGTGGATAAGGGAACAGTCAACGCTAGTTCAAGAACAAAGAGTCTATGGAAAATCGCATTGTTAGCGACATAATGATATAGTGTACGAAATAAGCTAAGCTGTCAGCATGATGGTTTTATAAACTATTATTTATATTTAATAAATACTTGTATATATTCAAGGTAAAATTCGATCTTAAAATAACGGTTTACCAATAATAACCAGGCGTTCTCCTGGCCTAGCCTAAAAAGTTCATTTGATTCATTGCGAAACATTTGCTGCTCGCTACAAAATAATGTTAGGCAAATTTTTCAAAAATAAGTATTTAATAAAATTAAATCAACTGTTTTGCAACAAAATTGACCACACTGCTAAGATAGAGCAAAAAGTATGTTCACAGTAAAATGTTGTAACGAAGTTTCAACTAACGAATTACCAGATTAACATGTTCGGTTTTCGGCAAATCTCAAGATCCCGCAACTTCGTAAACTTTGTACTCATACAACAAAGTATTTTCTCGAGTTCCTGTAGGCAAACATCAAATTATACATGACACATCAGAATTTTACGAACTTCAGGCCGGTTAATCTCAATTTTAATTGATATAATTATAGTTTATAAAGAAGTTTTCTGTGTGCACTTTTAAGTTTTATACAGCTCTTCCTTTTTTAAATCGAAACTTGTGGTTTTGGCTCACAACTGAAATATTGTATATATTCTTAGTACATTTCGCCACAGAATATTTTCGTTCACCTCGATGATCGGCTGTGGAGTTTGGTTTGCGTTTCAGACAAAGTCACGAGTTAGTTTATGACTAGTTGCCTCCATTGCAGGGTATCTCATAACAAATTTATCTCTCAAATATTGTATAAGTATAAAAGTGTATTAGTAACCAATGGAAATAATACAGTTTTTCTCTAAATGTACTTGCTAATGTTTATATAAGTAAGAAAATTTCAAATATGCCAGGAATTGGCAGAAATTTGTTAAAGTCGGTATGTATGTAAAGTATGATCTATTTTCCATTCAACTTTTTGTGATTTAATACCCGAAAATACTAAGCTACCACAATTTTTAAACATTATGTTAACAAAGAAATAATTGTACATATGTCAAAAATACATTTTAACTTATGTACATAATATAGTAACAAAGTGTGTGTTGCGACTTTTAAAAACGTTTGACCAAATAAAACTTAATTTTTCCGCATAAGCACCAACCAATATGAAAAAGGAAAGCTTTTAACTTTAAATCATTTGAACAAATTGTATTTTGTATGAGTACATATACATACATATATCATACAAACATATCTCCGGTATGCCGATTTCAAATTGTAGCAAAAACTTAGTACATATGTACATATATTATATTAATCACACTCGTATATTTGCCTATTTATGTAAACATTCGTATACCTACGTCTGCATAAAAAATCAAAATTAGAAAAAATTTAATACAGACACGGCTTAAAATTGTGACAGCGGGCATGCAATGGAAGTGGGCTCGAGTTGCGACTGCCGGGAGAGCAGCTCGACGCGTCCGAATACATCAGTGGTGTGCAGTGAATAGCTCGGAAATGGTGAAAAGAAATTTGCTCACATGTCTACGGAGGCACACACAAGCTCGCAGTCAACTCGCGTTCGCCGCTTATATATGAATGTACGTATGTATGTATATGTACATACATACATGTATTTATTTTTGTTCATCTATATGTAAGTATGTATGTACTTATTTATATAAGTGGCTTTTCATTCGCCGTGTTATTCCATTCCATGTCTGGCGTATGCCCATTATTACTCACATATATACTTAAACGTATGTATCTACAAGTATGTGTATATAGTTGAAATTTGTACTATTTATCAATTTTCGCATGAGCGTGTTGGTGTTAGTGAGTACGGTACGTACATCTGTTTTGCTCCGCCGCATGACTCATTTTCCATTACGGCACCACACTATCCAATAAACAATCTGGCTTTTTTTTATGTTTTGCCGTTCCCTCGCCGCTACTGACTCGGCTGATTGCTCGACTGAGCGACGAGCGCGTTTCTTCATTCGTTTTGCTCAAATTGTAATTAAATTAATTTCTTACTGTAATAACTACGTACATAAATACATATGTACACATGTATAAATTTATTCACCGCAGCACAACTTTAGTTCTTGGCTAAATACGAAAGTAATTGTACATATGTATTTACTTATTTGCTTTCATGCATATGTATGTAGTCATACCCATATGCGATTTTTTTTGGTATTAGTAAATAAACGTATGTGTGTAAAAGACCGCTGATTTTAATCCAATGGAGCTCTAAGGTTCCTCTTACGTTCAAAAATATGTGTTGTTTGTGGTATATTTTATATTATTTAATATTCTAAATAAATATAAAACTTGGTACTCTCAATAATTAAAAAAAAAATGTGTGGGCTGTATGCGATAAGTTGTGGTGTAAGTTTAATTAATAGAATATGGCATCGGCCTTTCTGAGAGAATGAAGCATGGGAATCGCTTCGGGATATTGGGAAATAATGTAAAGGTCGCATCATAAAGGTCTGTTAAAAATTCTTTAAAGCGAAAACCTAGAAAGGAAACTCGTGGATGGCCACATAAAATTTGTAAAAAGGACTAATGTAAGTGCTTAAACAGTTCGCAGGCGCTAGCACAAAGAAAGCTACCAAGACGAATAACCAGAAATTTGCGTTAATGCGATCAAGAAATTTAAATATGAACTTTGCAAGAAGTCATATTAATTGGTCAGGAACTAAGGAATTAAAATACGATGAAACGAAAATAAATTTGTTTGGAAACGATTCTAAGAGAAATGTGCGTCGCCCAGAAGGAAAGGAGTTTTACGTTCGATTCACAAAAAAACTGTAAAGCATGGCGGTGGAAAGGTCATGGTTTCGGTATTTTTTTCTTGGGATAGGGTAGTCCTATATACCGGACAACTAAGAAAATGACAGCGGCGGAGTACAAGGATATACTTGAAGATGTCTTGCTACCCTGTGCTGAAGAAAACTTATCATTGCGTTGGATTTATCAGCAAAATAACGGCCTAAAACATACCTCAAAACTGATTATAAAATATTTTGAAGTCAATAATGTTCATGTTTTAGAGTGTCCAAGTCAATCCCCGAATTTAAATCCAATGGAAAACCTATGCAGAGAATTAAAAATAAATGGCGAATCAATCTTTCTCAAACTCACAAAGACCAGTTATGGGAGTACATCCAAAAAACTTGGTATGCGATACCTAAATAAATCTAACCGACTCTAATTAGTAGTACGCCCAAAGGAATTAGTAAAGTAATCCAGAATAATGGAGGATATACCGTCTATTAACAAAGCAATGTTAAATATACAACAAAACCTTTATGACATAATTTGTTTTTCCATAATAATTGTCCTATTAAAAGTGTACCTATTTTTTTGAGCAAGTTGATTTTAGCTATATAACGTTTTTGGATCTACATTTGTTTTTTTGTTTTGCTTTATTTAAAAATTAGTTTTATTAAATTTTACTTGTAAATATTTGAAAAATAACAGTACGTTTGTGTTTTTCTTAAAAATTTAAATAAAACTTATTATACATGTGCTTTACTTGCAAAAGTATTTTGTAACTATTATTTTGAGCAGGTGTGTATGTGCATCTGTGGATGAGGTCCGCATAAATATTATATGTATGTATATAAGATCAAAACAACTTCTTGCAAGATATTTGCCGCTTTCGGGAAATCGCCAACACAAAATGTCGGTTGTTAAAGAAAATAAGCCATGAAGGCGCAAGCAAACACATACATACATAATACATGCAGGCATATACCGGTAAGGTAAAGAAAAAATTTGTTTTGAAAAAAATTGTTTACCAAACGAGTATCAGTCAGATACCTACTTGTCGAAATATAATGAAACTACTAACGAAATAGCTACAGCAGAGAACGGCAATAACATGAACAGCGGCAGCAGAGGCAACAACAAGCAATTGCCGTGAATTGTGTATGCTAAAGCAGAAATGAAAAATAAATAGTATCTGCGAAATAACTCGAAATCGAGAAAAACAAAACGGCGACGGTGAAAACCTACACGAAAACACAAACGAAAACTAACACATTCACGGCCGAACAGTCTACAAAAATGGTAAACACGCACACAGCTGCGATGCGAATAGATAGATGGACGAACGAACGGACGGACGGACGACAGACGGTCGCTAGGGCCGATAAACAGACGTTCGGTGGAGGGCAGCAGACAGGCAGACAACCGAACCATGACGTGTAGAAATAACCTGAAACGCAGCTAAAATTACTACAAACAAACAAAGAGGCGAGCAAATCGTAGCTGCTTCTTTGTATCTCGCAGTTACGCGCAGGCATAACACATCAGTGCAGACAACGACAGCAGGCAGAAAGCAACCGACAGCCCGCCACAGAAACTGTGAGAGCTAGAGCTAAAGACTGAGCTGCTTTGGCAGCAGCAAATCGCAAATGGATTTATATAAAACAACATTGTCGAAGTTGCGATGTTGCCACATTTCACACAGCGCATTATTGTGGATGCGCACCAACCACCGCTACTACCACCTTTGATTTCATATTACCTACGAATGCGAACACACGCACGAGATACTTATTCGTTTTCGCCCGAATTGTACTTTGGCACACAAGCGTTCGTGCGTAGCTGCTGCCTCGCTGAGTAACGTGCACTCTTCGCCTGTTCCGATTCCAACAACATTTGACGACAATATTACCTACTCGACGAACGTGTTGGTGTGTGTGTGCTTGTATTTGTTGTTTTATGTTTGTTTTTATTTCTTGGCTGGCGGTTTGGTTGGTTGCTTGGTGAATCGCTTGGTTGCTGTCGGCTTCATTTGGAAATGTGACTGTAGTCACCAAAGTGAAAAGACTGGCTGACAACAAAACAAAAATTAAAAAGCAACAACATCTTACCGCCAAGTTAGTGGCAGTCGATAGTCACAGCGGCAACGTCGCCGGCCGTTTCTTTTCTACTTCTCAACTGCGTTGTTTTCGTTATTCATGTGACGCAGTCACACGAACACACACACCCATATGGACATAAACATTTGCTTGCAGCTTGGATAGATTCGTTTATGCACAAAACGACTTCAACCATATGAAAGACTGAAGAAGTTCAGAGGAAGCGAAAAGAGGCCCACATCAGGCGAGGAGTTTATACTGGAAAACAGAAACAGGGTTTTATATTAAAAGCTGAAAAAGCAGCATCGTGTGAGACGTCAGTTCCCACTCAATCGGTTCTTCAGAACAACTAGCTAGGCGGTTCTTCACCACGAATAGATACATATGCATGTGCATAAGTACGTATATGAATGTGTGAGTATGAGTTTGTACAGGAAGTCCAACTTCTAGCAATACCGCTTTGGCTTTGTATTGGCTCCTGCAGCAGTGAACTCTCAACAGCAAACATTCATGGTTACACAAACATATTTATGGTACAACTATGTGATATCTAAATAAGCATAAATGCAGCCATATATGTATGTACATACATACAGACTTTTATGTCAAACAAATTTTATGAATATGCACGTATTTATGTATATTTTCTTTAACGTCTTGTCAGCTGCCTTATACTCCTGACTCTCGACCGCTTCTGTTTGTGTTCTCTTACGGAAAGCAACTGTCTTGTGGCCGTTCGCTCTGATGGCTATGATGTCGATGAATATTACACATAGAATAGGGTGAAATTGGTGTTCGGAATTTATTTGAATGAATGAACGCCTGTTTTTGGAATTGTTTTTGATAACAAATGGCTTCGTCACCACTTTGTCCTTACTGTGCTGTCACTCCTCGATATGTATGTAGTACATACTCCTTAATATGTATGTAAGCACATCTAAATTTTATTGTCTGAAAAGGAAATATAATCTTAAGTAGAGCTCCCAGTTCGAATACAATGTTATAGTGAAACCGTTAACACTTGTTCCGTCCAGAGTCCGGAAAATAACCGAAGGCCATATTATTTAATGCATTGTAAAGACATGTATCTAAGGGATTAATGTTTGTAGTTGATATTTTACAAAATATACGGACCATTTAACGAAAATCTCCAAAATCCAATAAATTATCGGTCATAAACTTCCTACTTCACTTCCTCAACCCTTTTCTAGCTCCTGATTATGCGACATCACTACTAGTATAATATCACATTCGAGGGATTAAAATACATTCCGCCAGAAATTTATATTTATAACTACTGATCCTTTCTAAGCGTAATACTACATTAATTTCTAAACTTACCGTTTTAAGTGTTCTCTGCTTTTTGTATCCTCACGTAATCTCGCTTCGGGTATTTGACCAAAACAAATTTTTCGGGTTTCTTCACGTACCATTTTGTTTATAAAACTTCATGGAGGCGACTTGTTTTAAGAGGGGCGCGCTCCACCCCATTCACTTTGGAGGACGACTGAATATTCTTTATCGTTAAAATATTTTTCCGAAAAGCCGTCGATAGAATGCGAATATTCTGGGTTTAATGTATTATAAGCACTTACACATGCACATTTACTGTAAGAAAAAGAAATACAATTTGTTATATAATTTTTTTTTTTTATTGTCCATTAAGTGTCAATCTTGTAAGATTCGGTAAGTATTGTATACAAACATATGGAATTTACTATTATAAATATTATTATGTAAAAGAAAGCTAATTTCAAAATGTTTGTGAAAATTTTTATGAATTAATTTGTTAAAACTTATTCCAGAAAAATTGTAACCTAAAAGGGATCTCCTGCAGATAAATAAATGTAAAATAACACCACTTTTTTAACCTCAAAAATGAGCTCCTTTAATTCAATGTATGTGGGCACACATGAAACCAAATCTGACGAATAATTGAGTCGCCTGAGACATGTTTCACCACCACAATGTCTATAATTCGAAATGACCATTTTCGAATTAAATCCCTATTTTTGAGGTTACCATCATTAACAGAGGAATTTCATATGTATAATGTAATAGTTTGTAATAGGTTCAAAAATTGGTTCTGTGGTAAAATTGATTATGAAAATAATGTGTAAATGATATAAGTACTTTGGATGGTGTTGATATTGAGTAGAAAATTCTTGAAATTTTAAAATACATACAAGAACTTCCAACATATTTTTATTCAGAAAATATCTTGCTGAGAATTAGGGAATATGGAATCACATTTTATTTCACGTAGATTGAACAATATACACCAAAAATGTCTGACTTCTTTAATTAACATTTTAAAAATGTAAGCAACGATCTCAAAATATGTGAATGCAAGCGCTGCTAATATGCAATATGAATTGTTTTTGTTACTTTATATTATTCCTTTTATAACAATGATCTCTAAATATACGAGATAAATAGAGATATAAATATAAGTGTATTTTCTGGTTTTTGTTCCTTATATTTTTTTCGTTTAAAGTTAAAAATATTATTTAAATATCATTACTAAAATGTTAATAAATACTTAAAGTACAAATCTGAATTTTTTTAATTGATTTGGTTGTCCAATTAATCGGCATTCCTGTAATGGAACGAATTGCTCCATTAAATGAGTATCGGTTAATTGATTCCCCGGTTAATTGAACAAAAAATTGTGCAATTTTTGAAAAACAATTATCCGGAGGATACTGTAACTCATGATTTTTAATAGCCACCTATAGAAATATGAGGAGCTGGTAGCAGCATACCATAAATATATTATATATATGTATGTAAATACATATGTACACAGATACATATTATAAAACCTATGAAGTGTACAATATAGCCAGTGAGAGCATATGAGCACATAACATGATATGATGTACAGTTGTTCACACAATTGAGTGTACACTTTTTTTCTCAAAAAAATACGGATATATTAACAATTTAGCATTGTAACCAATTTTTTACAGAAACTAATGTAAAGTAGTTAAACTGTTTTACGATGCTTGGTCTGGTCTATCGTAATTTTGTTACTCGAATACGTTAAAGATATGTACATTTGTAAACATGCAATTTTCGCAAATATTCAACGCACAAAATTGAGTAGACAAATTTCTGATTGATTTCGCTACATTATTTTGTGTCTTATCCCGAAAAAAAATGTATTTTTTCAATAAATAGGACTAAGCGGTTAGAATTCGGTTAAGTCCATGGTAACAAACCGTTAAAATCTGGAAAAGAGTATAGTTAAATAAAGCACCCAAAGTTGTAAGTGGAACTATAAAATTTAGTGAAAATATATGTATAAGGAAGTCTATATACATGGACATTTTGTGTAGAAATTTACAGTAGAATGACTACCATGTTTATGCTTACAAATGATCGGTTAAGTAAGTAAGGGTAAGTTCAACACATATGCTTAATAACTTTTTAACAATGAGTTAAATCGTCTATTCGGATAGAATATGTTATATGGTACATACACATTTACATACATTCTTTACGTAGGTGGACGTATCAACTCGGGTGCATAAACAACTTTAAAGTTTAATTGAACGTCAAATCAGCTTATTTCCTATGCCGGTGTATATTGTTGTGATAAATTGCCTGTAAAACTTTGCTTTTTTGTTTATTGATTTGATAAATTGTTTAAGAAATTTAATATAAATATTTTATTAATCAGCATTCGCTACCTGTTTTCACGTATTTAAAGAAAATTATAAACAATTCCATTTGTGTTTTCATTCAGAAGACATTAAACAGCTGATTTGTATTTAAGGTAATTAAAACGTATTGCTAATTTTTTTGTCAAAAATACAATTATTTACCAAAAATGCTACAAAATGCAAATAGACAATGATCCAAGCACACTGTACATGTAGTTCGGCACTGGCTGCTCTCAAACAACGTAAAACACCACCGTAATCTCCAGATATGAACCCAATAGCGAATTTGTGGGCATAAGTCAAACTAAAGCTATAATACATTCATCTAGGAAGCAGAGATAACTTAAAACGTGAAATAAGTAAGATTTGTAGGAAATGTGACCTGTTTAGAACCACAAATTAATAAAATATATGCCACGACGGATGAAAGCATAATAGATGTAGGAACTGGATCAACATACTATTAGTTTATAAAGTTTATTACTTTATTATTTTTTTTAATATTTAACTGAAATGTACACTCAATTTCGTTATATGAATTTTCCTATGTTTAATAACGAATAATAATTAATAAAAAATTGATATAAAAAATATAACTTTCAAAAGTACTTGGAGACCTTGTTAATTAATAGATGTACGTAAATAAAATATTGATAGACTTGGACAGGAGTTGAAATTAAGGTTTTCCTTCAATAATAATTTCTATACGCTCAATTCTGTGAGCAACTGTTTGTACATATATACATATGTATGAACATAAGTATACAGTCATACTTACACATTTATTTATGGCCGCATGTAAGTAAACAATTATAAGAAAAATGTGATTATTTTTATGTACATATGTAGATACATACATATGTACATGTGCATATGCATATTTTTCTAGCCCGCAATCGACCGACCATCAACTTCTTACTCTAATTTGTACGAAGAGCTACCTACCAACGTGCTTTTATGACAGCAGTATGTGCTCATATATACCATGTATGTATGTATAGTTGCTTGTGTATGCATATGTATGTCTAAAATGTGAGAAGCACGAACCAAACATGACCAAATGTTGAAAATTCCATATAACATTTTATTGTGGCCGTTCAGTCGGTTGTTTTGTAGATACAAACCCATACATTCTTTAATTCAACTAAATTGGCTTGGGTTTGTGTGCGTGTATGTATATATATAAATCTACTCGGCTTGTATACAATTAACGGAAACTGGAAATGTGGCAACAGCGTACGCACACAAAAGCAATGTTAAAGCAGCACAATAGATCAGGGCAAACAGCACCGATAGCAACGACGGCAGCGGCTACTGCAGCGACTGCCGCAGTCACAGCGAAAGCAGCAATACAAAAGTCAAACGTACATACAATACCAAATGAGTGAATAGAGGGAAAAAAAAAACAAGTCGACGAAAATTGGCAACATGACGAATTGTTTTCTTAATACGAGTATATGGTATAATTGACTAGATGATGTTTGCGCCCGGGAGGGAGGTAATGAGCGGTAAAACTTGCTGAGTATGCGCGAAAGAAGAGGAGAGAATTTTCGTTTTATTTAGATAGCAGTGTATATGTATAAGTGGGACTGTGTGCATGGCAATGAAGTTGATGAGTTGGTTGCCGTTTTGTAAATTTTGGTTCTGTCATATTGTTCTTAGTTCTTTTATTACACTAGTGTGCAAAGAAGAAAAGGGTGGTAGAAATACAGAGAATACGCGATGTAGAGGAAGAGAACAGTTGTAAATGCCAGAACGAGAGAGTCGATCAAAATAAGCATTTGTAGTTTTCGTGTGAATATGAGTACATACGTATTTATATGAATGCATAAACTCATAAAAATATTTGTATGATTTGTTTAGGTAAAGATATACGCACACTATGAACGGTTTTTGCCACTTACACAGGGTGTCCCATAGGTGACATATACTAAAAATTTACATTTGAACATGTGGGTATGTCTGGCTCTCATTTGAAGGGATTTTTATAATATTAGAGCTGTTAGTTGTTATGGTTGTTGTAAATATAGAAACGAAAATATATCTACCATATACATGTATGTAGGAATATAATTGTGTATGAGCGCATACAAATATAAAGTTGGTGTTATTTTTCCTTATAGCGCTATTGTTGCAATGTCGAGCTTTGCCTTTGTAGGGTTGCTGATTCCTTTTCTACTATTCCACTTTTCCCATCCATTTGTATATACCAAACAACACATGCAAAGAAAGATAGAAACTTCTCATATCTGCATGCATATATGAGAACAGAATAATAACTCACATACACGAATGCCCAAGCCAAGCAAAATTCAGTAAGAAATCTTATTTTATTTACTACCTACTATTCGTACATAGATAAGTATTCATTCAAATATTCGTAACTACTTTTGACGATCTGGAAGTGAATGTTGCGTACTATTTTTGTACAGAAAATCAAATTAATATAAAGAGTTCCGTCATTATAAACAAAATAAAGAATTTTATCATCTATAGGATAGCAATTACCCTATGCCTTCGTATATTTGGGTGTTTGTTGCTATGTACATACATATGTATATAGGAGATTGGAAGTCAAATTTTTATTTTTAGTCGAAAGATAAACATATTTTATATTGTTATTCTTATAATATAATATAATATATAATATATTCTATCATATAAGAGTGAAAAACTAACGTTAACTCCGGTTGCACCGCAGCTATAACACCTTTCACAAATACAAAAGATTCCTTACTAGAACATGATTTCGATCGTTTAGTTTGTATGGCAGCTATATCCTATAGTGATCCGATATCGGCGGTTCCAACAAATCTGCAGCTTCTTGGAGAGAAAAGAACGTATGAATTTCAGAACGGTATCTCAAAAACTGAGGAACTATTTCGCGTATATACAGACAGACAGACGGACGTGGCTAAATCGAGCCATGGATTACCTCAAATCTAATTTGCATGGACATGCTTGCTTCAGTATTGCAATCAAAAAAAAAAAGTAATTTGTGCACCGGATTCAATTTTATAACATGTAGTGAAAATGGACTCAATCAATTTTATTGATTACGTGTAATTATTTACCTAAATACGTATGAAACTATGTATATGTATGTATGTAAGTATATAGTATATGCCTTTGAACCAACTATGGTTCTCATAATTACAAAGCATGTTAAAGACAACAATGTGTCAAACATTTTGTTGCTATTTTCATATAAAATTATTTTATATGCATTTACATACATACATACAAACATATTTAAACAACCAGCATCGTTTGTAACTACTGGATGCAAGTATATATTAGTCCTGTTGGTGTTTTTGCAATTTTCCTCTACCGCTGAGACGTTGCAGCAATGTGGGAGTTCTACTATATACACATGTATCATTAAATAAACACATATGTATATGTATTGTATGTATGTACATATGTACGAGCTGTTATATATATTTTTTGCTTTTATCTGTTGAAGCTTATGCCCAGAAATCCTTAAAGCCCCGGACAACATCGCTAGTAAAGCCGTTGACGTCAACGTCGACGTAGACGTTATATAAAATACGGTTGCATGAAAACAAACTAAATAAACACGAACTCTGTGTTTTTATTTTGCTTTACGTTGTTGTTTTGTTGTGCGCAGACTCGTCAAAGCAAATCATATAGGTATGTACATGCACTCGTCCATACATATGTACATATGTATTAACAAATAAACCTGCTCCAAAAATACAAAAACACCAACACAGTGAAAACATGCGTTATTCCAGGATGCAATGCGGGTGTAGAGAAGTGCAGGAAAGAACAGGTAAATTATTATGTACAATGTATGTTCGTTTATTCCAGTTATAGCTCAAGACTTGTACATACATTACATAGGTATGTAGTAGGTATGTACATATGTTTGTATAAAAACTGGACGAACTAACAAGTGAGCTAAATTTCCGGCAGCCTGACTAGCTTCAGTCGTATGCATTGCTCGGTTTCGAATTCGTGTTGCCTGCCCACTTGCATCATTATCCCGGCCCCACTTGTACACATACATTGGTACATGCACATTCACATAAATAATACGTGTACATATATACTTAATATGTACTATTGACGTTTGCCTCTGTGGAAACAGTGCAGGTTCCAGGCATCCGATCACATAAGCACACCCACACAGCAGCACGAAGAAAATGCACCGTCCAAGTTCCACTGCACATTTCGTCACACACATACATATGTAGAAATATACATACATGCGTATGGACTTATGTATGGGGATGTAGGAATCCATGCAAGTGCTCACAAGTTTTCAAAAGGCCCTGCATTGCATGGAAAAACAACACATGGGCCGTGTAAATATATACAAATATGTACATAAATGTTTTTGTGATATACTTATATATATGTATATATAAACAGTAAACGCATACACAAATGTTATCTAGCTACGTTCATAAGTACTTTTATATAAGAGTTTATATACTTTCGTAGGTGTTGTTCAAGTGGATTGGCCGAAGTAAGAGAAGGTGCTATAGCAGCGATGAGGAATATTTACACACATATGCACGCTCGGTAGTGGGGCCGTACTTTCAACCTTCCACTTATATATACATACATGCATATTTTCAAGTAGATAATGTGAGTTACAACACACCTACATACATACATTGTTAGCTTTGTGTGTATGTGTGTGCAGGCATGTAGTTGCAGTAGTTTATAAGCCGCTGTGAGGTATTTAACATGAGCTGATGGTTGGCCAAGTAAGTACGCTAAGTTTGCCCACCATAGATCTAATCAGCAATCGTGCGGCAGCGGGGGTTCAAATAACCACCTTATTCTCTCTCTTATTATTAAGCACTTGGGGTCCATTATATACACATACTTATACAAACGCCAGAGATTACAATCGCACTCACATCGATATATACATACACATGCTCACACAATTCCGTCACATCAATCGAAGACTACGCAAAAGTTACTTGTTCTTCTCTTGGCCTTTTCGACCCCCTACCTATAGGTGTAATTTATGTACGAGAATTTATTTTAGGTGTTTTTTCTTCTGACTTTGGAGCTCGGCGCTGACTAGTTTCATTATCGAGTTGCTTTAGCGCTGCTGGCGCAGTTGGGGCCGAGTGCGAGCGCCTACACTCGTCGACTTGCTTTCTCTGCCATTCAGTCGCATTTAATGCGCGTTGGGGTGCGGTTGTTAGCGCGAGCGTTGGAAGATTCTTTAGTGTTTCAATCGAATTGATGGAGATTTCACTATGTACAACATACTTATATGTATATGTATATTAGCATTTTGATGATCGAGAACTAAATATATAATTTGTTCGTTCCTTAATTTAATTTATTTTTACACTTGCACTTCACCAAATGACACTTTTTATGTTGATCCACAATTTTACGTAATTTCCAAGAAAAAAGTTTTGAAACCATATTCATGCATACATTTTTACATTGGTCTGAAGTTATGTTACGTAACGCGATACATTTGTTGGTTGAATTGAAAACTCACTTTAGCAGAATTTTTTTCTCAAATTAAAATTTAATAAACATTTGTTGTACTTTTTGAATTCCAAATTACTCACTTGTGAACGTTCAAATTCACATAAGTAGCTGTTTGTAGGCGCTATTGATAGGTATGCATAAATAAAAATTACCAAAAACAAATGAATTACGTCACATTTCAGAAAAAAATAAACGCCGTTTGCGTGTTTTACTTGTGTGAATGAATGTTTATATCTATGCGAGCATAAGACATTTTCTTCTCTTTCATACCATAGACCATGAATAGTTTTGGAACACATAGCAAACTTCACTTGTGATTTGTTTAATAATATTTCATAATTGACCCTTATATTTAAATCTATGAATGAGTCAATGCACACACATATGGACTGTTTTCATTCACCGTAATCATTATAAGTTTTATTTTAACAATCACGTAATAATCATTATACATTGAGTTTTACGATTTTCTTCACCGATGATAATAAATTTTGATTAATTTTACAATAAATCATAAATAATTATTATTTTTCAACAAAAAAAAAAAATAAAATCATAAATAATCATTATTTTTGAGCAATTTTTAAAACTCACTTTGGATTACAGATTTCTTATGAAGTGTTGTGAATAACATAAAAATTTGGTAAGAAATATTGTATTTCGATATTATTTCGTTGCAGCTACACCCGTATTTACCGACAGAAATTATTTTTTGAATAACTACTTATGTTTTGCTTGCTCAATAATTACCGCTTGATATTATTTTTTCTAATTTTTGGAGGGGCGTGGCAATGCCTTCATAAATTTTATCCTTGAGATTTGTTCAAAAAATACATGCAACCAAGTTAGCAAAAGCTTTCAAAAGAAACCTATGATCTAGTTTTATTTTGAGCAAAAAAATTTAATTGAGTGATTTTTTATTAAAACCACACACCCTAACTATTAGGGTCCTAAATGCCTCAAGAACCTCTTTGTGATTAAAGGAGGTACTCAATTTAAATTTTTAGTGGAAACAAAGTCTTTTCAGTTCTACAATAGTACGAAGTGTATTCAAGAAATAACGAAAAAAGGAGAATTTCGCCGATTTGGAGGGTTCATTTGTAAATTATTTTTTATTATGTTGATGTACATATGTATGTGTGTATGTAAGTACATGTGCTCATATAATTAAGTCACGCCACTAATAAAACGAAAGTTTATTCAAAGCAACTTTTTTAGTACAGAAATGAAACACGTGTGTTAAGGGAAATTTTAAAGCAATAAAAATGATAAGCATAAGCATTTCCCATAGGTTGTCATATAAAATTAATCAGAATTACATAAAGGACATATTCAATAAGACACATATTTAATTAACCATAATATATGTACACATGTATGTATATACATGTATTGTATGTATGGCAGAGGTCGCTAGAGGATATCAAATGCAAAATGGAAATCCTTGAATCTGTTCGGTGGACACCAACACATATAGGGATTAAGGGATTATACATACATATGTGAATCGAAGGCATAACGAAGTTTTCTTTATTAATCTAAAATCTTCTAACTTTGTTCATTTTAGCATAGAAATAATGCTATAGAATGGATTTTTTTGGACATTGTTGAAATCGTTTAATGGCGATGAAAATTTAAGTATGTAAGGTCTTAAATTCTGGGCCCAATAAATTTAATATGCATTCACCTTCGACCCTTGTGTTTGGTCGAATGCAACACACTTAGTCGTGCATTCGACAATTTCTGTTCACAATGAGTAAAGTGCACATCCTCATGCATTTGAATACCAACTTAGATGTACATATGTATGTGGGTATGTACTTATGTAGATACAATAAATATGTATTTTATGGATAAATAAGCACGGCATTGTAGCGACAACGAAAAGGTATAACCGATGTGATACGAGCATTATAGACATAGATATATGTGCATATGTACATACATACATAAAACCATATACATTGTTGTATGCAAGTGTTTTGTGTATTTAGACATAGAGGAGAATTTACGCAACAAACACACCCTCACAATCAAACGGCAATTGGTGGCGCTTCTGCGACAAAACTATTTGGTATGTGTACTTTATGGATTCGAGTCCAGCACATCATGTGGTGGTAATTCTGCGACTATCTCCTGGCCACCACGATCCCCCTTGAATGCTTTTTGCCTGCGTCAGCGTCGACTTTTATCTCAGCTCGTCGTTTTGTGGAAGAGAGAGCACGCTATAATTCGAACAGAAATCGGTTGCAGCAAGCTGCAGTGCATAAACGCATTACCCACACACACATTCATACATACATATGTACATATTAAGCAAAGTGGCATTAAAGTAGCGCAAATTGTTCGGAGTCCGGACCAACGTTGTGGAAACTTTGCGACTTTGCCACGGCAGCAGAAACTGAAGCAGCGAGACGAGCGTTGTCGAGCGGAGAGCAACGAATGCTAGACGCTGCGTACGGCAGCCATTTCATGGCACAAATTAAGCAATCTCAAAACGTTTGAATACGTGACCAATATTGAATATGTAGTTGTAAGAAATCGTTTTATATTTCGGTATTTTTCTCTCCCGATCCGGTTTTTTGGCTCTCAGCGCACAAACCAACCAAACCAGGCAATGCGTTCCATTTGTTCAAAAATGCCAGTTTCCAACATATAACGACTTTTGTCGTTTATTGCTGTCGCTCGACTTTTGCTGCACTGCAGTAAAACTGAGTAGCAAAACAGAGCGCAAAGCGGTTTAACGTTGTGAAACGAATTCGCTATCTACATACATGTATCTATGTGTATGCGCCGCTGTCGTTAAAGCTGCCAAAAACGTTCATAACACATTCGATATCTCGTTTCTGCGACCGAATCCTCTTGTGCAGCACCAAACGCTCGTGCCCTCTCGCACTTGACGCTGCGTTTGTTGCGCTGTCGCGGCGAGCGAAACCCCTACAGCTCTTTGGGCTGTGACGCGCAAAGCCATACAAACCAACATACCAATTCAAAGCGGATATGCCTATATACCTTTAAGTATATACATCCACATGTGTATGTGTGCGTTGTTTAAGCAACTGCGTTCTATTTGTTATTGCTTGTTCATGCCGATTAACTACCTATTGCGTTGTGGCTGCTGCTGCTGCTGCTTTGTGTAGTTCTCGGTAAAGCGACAAGCTCTCTTTACGCGAGAAACACACACACACCAGTATACAACTCATGGCATTTCAGTCGCACTTGCAACTACTGCATCAATGCATCTCTCTCGATTTCGTGTAAAAAACAATGGACGTGTGTATGTGTAGCTTGTGGCTGACATGATGTATTCGAGTGCAAACAGCAGAGTAGGGGACCATCATCGTGGTCGTGCACATCACAACCATGCGGTATCCACTATAGTCTGTAGTGTTTGCACTTAACAATGGTGTAAGTATGCGAGTGTGTGCGTGCGAGAGCTGCTAATATGAGGTACCCAATTCATGGTTCTAGAGCTCCGACCTCAGATGACTGCTGCCCCCTGCCACTTAGCTGGATTTTTATTCTTCTTTCTACACTAACTGCCTAAGTTTAAAGCTAAATCTGGTGAAATTCTTCGGCTGTCCGCTTTCAACTGCTGGCGCGTTCGAAATGCATACATTCACACACACATGTACATATGTTAATGGGAGTTTCATTCTTTTTATTGAACGTTAGTTAACTTATTTATCTCAGCGTTTCGCCATTGCGTACATACACTACGAATATTTCACTAATACATACACCATCCTTAAATATTTTTCCCGAATCGCATTAGCAGAGCCCTTTGACGAACATTGTAAGGGACCACAGCCGAGTTTAAGTTGATGTACTTAGGAACCATTCTATGTTTCCGCATGTTGGAAAGAGGCGCAAAACCGGTAAAAATGGCGCAGTCATCGTATTCAAAAGTTTAGAATAATAATTAATATCGTACGATGTCTGCACTTTAGCAGGATTTTAAGACTGAATCCAAGAAAACATACATACACACATGTACATATGTATGTTAAGTATGTACAATTTCGCATACACTTACGAGTGCTAAAATTACAGAACTATTAATTGATAAGTCATAGTCGAATCTTTGACAATTGAATAGCCTGTCCAATATTAATACGCGTTATTGTATTAGAATTGCATATTTACTATGTAAATAGCGGAATGGAAGATAATGGCCAATTTATCTGAAAATTAGAGACTAATGCCAGTAGTGGAGAATGAAATGATTGTTTCCTTGTACTTAATCCACAGCCTGTATCCACATGTAATCAAAATTATATTTAGTCTATATGTATGTATGTAAATCTAAACCTTTCTTAAAATACGATTCCATTTGTTACTAACATCCCTATGTACCATAGTCACTGGAATTTTAATATCTTACCCGTAATTGAATGTATTATGCTTTAATCATGTTTATTTCTTCACAATTTTCCATTTGCACGGCTTTATAATCATAAAATCAACTTATAATCGGATTCCTTAAACATTGATACACATTTGTTATAAATTTGTTTCCTCCATTTTCGAAATTTTCAAATTACTTGATTATTCGAAGCATTGGCTGAGCGACTTAAAATGTTTTCAAGCGCTGAAAATAAACAATAATAATAATTAATTGGCGAATAAAAAAAATACTAAATATTCTAGATACGTACATATATAATATAACATTTCATGTATAGAAAATTATAAAGAGTTATACACTTAATTATTATACTATTTCCAAGGAAGATAGTACTTATCTGAATTGTTTTTTGGTGAAATACAAACTATTTAATAATGCTATACAAATTCTTATAGCGATCAAAGTCAAAATCATGAAACTAAGCAATTGTGTGTTTATAATGGTTTTTGATAGCGCAGCATCTAAAATCGGTTGGAATATTAAACACAAAGCAACATTGAACTAAAATTCTTTTATGTAACTAACATCCACAGTAGATTTCGTAGTTAATGCAATTATTATTCAATTTAAGTGGCATACACTAGAGATATGCATCTTTAAATAATTATAAAATAGCAAGGCAGAGAATTAAAAAAAAAAAATTGATTTTTCGTGATCCTTTTCTATAGATAAAAATATACATATTTTTGACGCGTTTTAATATGTGTATATTTGTATATACTGCATATGTATAGTGTATATTTTTTTGAGTACGTTGAAAACACTTACTGGTTTAGTAGATTTTAACATTCCGCATAGACTGTTTCTGAAATAATAGATAATTTCAAAAAACCTCCATGTATTGATTGAACTATAATTTTTGATGTTTAGATTATTTTCCGTGAATCTGGTACTTTTAGAAGTATTTATGCTTTGTTTTATTTTTATATTGTCAATTTATTGTACACAGTTGATCAGGAAATAATTAAATTTATTATTTGATATTTTTTTATTTTATTCTTGATATTTTCGTGTTTTATTTGTATTGCTTATGAACTTCGTATTTTCATTTTCTTTTGCTTTAAAACAATTTTTCTTTCTTTTAAATGATCACTGTAGAAATGGAAATATAAACTTATTATTAATATACATACGTATATTACGAACACTTCACACTTTTTAAAGGGCCTATATTATATGACTAAAACAAAATTAATTTTATTGTAAATTCCGTATATTTGCTTTTGCTTAATTTTTGTTGAACTCATACATGCATGCATTTTAAAATGCACACACATGCACAATCGGGTTATATATTTATTTTGAACGCATATAAGGCGACAATTTTGCTACCATTTCGTTAACATTAGCATTCAGTGCAGTGCGATGAAGAGACATTGGGGGCACATGCTATAGCGCAATAAAAATGGGCGAAATTTCGTAATTTCCTTTTGATGTTTTCTATTTTTATTTAATGCTTGTCGCGCTCAAAATACCATCTTTGTTGTTGCTATTTTTGAACACATTCGCGTCTTTATTTTTTGCATTTATTTTATTATTGCACTTTCCAATGGTCAAGCATCGGTTCGATTCACAGCGCGTCTCACCCCACCGCGTTAACATCAGTACACGCCTCTACCGTTATACCGTACTGCAACGAACCGACATTGCATTTTACGAACGAGCGAACGAGCGCACATTCATACACACAATACCTATATAGGTATTGCAACGAATTGCGCTTTGCCGCGTCGCGTCACGTCGCGCCGTACCATGCCGGGTCGCATACACCCTACATTCGCATTGAACGACCGTCTTAATTTACCGTACGATTTACACATTTCACCCGTCGCACTGCCAGATACCATAGCATATTTTCATACTCAACTCAACAGACACACAATCATAGACACAATTCACCTACACAGATATACACAAAACGGGGGGCGCGCGCGAATCTGCCGTACTTGTGAAAAATTCGTTCGGACTCGTTACGATTTCATTTGTATATATCTACATACAAACATACATATTTATATGCATATATTCTTGGTGGTTTTATTTACCAAAAATTTTAAATTAACACATTCAATGAATGCTTAAACTTCCGTTTGGATTTTACTTTGCTTCACCATTCACCTTTTGCTGCTTTGCAACTTTTTTTTGCCTTTGTGTTTCTAAAATCTTCCTTTTGGTGTTGTTGGCTGCTACTTCTAAATGCTGCTGCTTTTGTTGCTGTACAAGTGTATACAACAATATCTACCGTATGGTTTCCAAGACGAAACTCGCGTTAAGTTGTTTTGATGCAACCTCATCGCGATTTACTCAGTGACTGAGCTCAGAAATTGCTGGCCAACAGCGTCTGAGAGCGTTATTTCGTTGTGCTAGATACTCTGTAAACAGGGTGCGATGCTTTGGCATCAGCAGTTCGCATCTCTTCGCATCAACTTACTTTAAAGATGTTGAATACAAAGCTCCGTTATCCTTAAAAAATACAATCAACACAATAGCTATGACCGTGGAATTGTGCATTTGCATAAAAAATATTAACAAAATGTCTAAGCTCCAATAACACAATAATTTTATATATATGAGAGTACAGTTATGAATTCATTGCGTTGCGAATCGCACCCTGTTATATGGGCACAGCTGTATACGTGTAATCAGAGTCAGTGAAATGAGAGAGAATGTTGCCAAAAATGCTCTCTAAATTATCTATTCTCTGAGATATGTATGTGGGTAATGAGAGCAGAAATATCTTTAAGATATTTTGCCGCTTTTGATTTGTATATTTTATCGTTGCCTACCTAAAGATACTAACTTCACAAATATCTTTTGTCAGTTGTTCATTTTAACTTATTGCAACTGTTTTACTTGAAATCATCTGTAACTAAACTGATTTAAAGTATATATTGTTGTTTACATTGGTGAATATGTTTTGAAAACGGTGGGAATGACAATATTTATGCTACTGACATTAGAGAGCTGAGCGGTTTATTTCTCATCTTCCTCAATGCACTTTTCGTAATAGTTTGCTTCTTAAGTGCCAGTTCACACACGGACTCTTTTGTCACCCAAACCGGTTTTTTTTGTAAGCGAGAGGACAACGAAGAAAGACGAAGGGACCGTGCGGCTCGTGCTCGGTTGGCACGCTTTATGTTCTTGTCCGTAACAGTTCGCTGCTACGAAATTCAAATTTATTTGGAAATTCTTTTCATGATTGAAATAGTTCTCGGTTTCAAATAAATATACATATGTACACATACGATATGTTCGGAAATTTGAATTTTGGTATGCATAATATAATAGAAATGTTTTGAAAAATTATGAAGGATAAAAATAAGATACTCAAAAATATTTAATTTAAATATTTAATAACAATTAGCCGAATGAAATGTAATAATATATATAAATGAATTTTAATAAAAATTGAGTTACTTTAACTTTTCTACATTTACATAAAAAATATTCCAGACAATGAGCGACCGACAAAAGAGTCCACCTTTGAACGCCGACTAACTCGTGGAAGCCTCTTTCCGACTGTATAGGGATAATAATAACAAATGTCAGAACTATTTAATCTAACATATTTATATTGATAAGAGAGCTATGTTAGAAGGAAACCTACCAAAAGTAATAAAGATCAATGTTAGAACAATCAGATAGTGAATACATAATTATAATTCAATATACACTATTTAATTGTGTTTACACACTAAAATATTTAATTTTTTTTTATTGTAGGAGAAAAGATAACTATAATTTTTATAATAATTTCAACAAAATTCATATGAATCAATATCAAACTTATGGGCAAAATCATATCCTTACAACTATTCAAAAATCTTTCATGTATCAAATTCGCACAGTGTACATACTTTTTAAACATATCGTGAGCTCTGTGGTAGAGAGCACCCTGTACTATTGTTTAATTGTTCGTCAACTACCAAACTAATTTCATTCGAGTGGAAAATAGAAAATAAACAAATTCGTGGCACATCCTATCTGCCTTCAACTTTTTATATCTTCAAACATGGCTAGCTTGAAACAAGACTTGGATGAATATTTGCTACTGCAAAGCGATCAAAAAAAGAACTTCAGTGCCAAAATTCCACAAATCAAAGTGCCAGATTTGGGAAAATTATTTACGCGTTCTGAGCCAACGGAACCCAGCAATAGTTGGCTGCAAGATACACAAGACAGTTGTTGTCCTAAATTGGTAAATTTAAATATTTTAATTAATTTTTATTTGATATTTGACGAATTTCTCTTTTTATTATAGTCACGATTACAGCGCATTGTGGGTTTTGTTGCTTGTTTAGGACTAGGTGCTCTTTGTTTCAGCATTTCTGTTTTTTACATACCAGTGTTAATATTGAAAGCCCGTAAATTCGCTCTACTTTATTCTTTGGGTAGCATGTTTTTCATACTTGGCTTTTGCTTTTTATCTGGCTTTGGTGCCTTCCTCAAGACTGCTTTTTCAAAGCCACGTATGTTGGTATCCGGCACATATACCAGCTCTTTGATAGCAACACTTTACTGCGCACTGTTAGTACATAGCACAGCGTTAACCGTCCTCTTTGCCGTGGCGCAAATAATCGCTCTTCTATTTATGATAGTTGGTACAGTTCCCGGTGGAGCTTCCGGAATAAAGTTATTCGGAAAAATGTTCAAGAGCACCGTATCCTCAACAAGTACACTGCCCGTTTAGTACCATAAAAATTATATAAACCTATGGCTTTTTTTTTATAAACTTGGTAGAAACATATTTCTTAATCGCTTATATGTCGAATTAACTAAGTTTTGTACACATATCTCGTATTTATCCTTTAGCCATTTCAATAGCTAACATTGAATTTATAACTGAAAGTGACATGTGTGATACCATTAAAAGAATCGTTTATACATGATAGCATAGTCGATATTATTACAAACACAAATCCACTTTGTTTTATTTTATGTTAATTGAAGACAACGTATTTAATATGAAAATCTTATTCTCAGGTAAACATTGGATAGTCTAATCCTCGATTTCACCAAGATACAAAGTTTTATCACTTGACGCAGATAGTATCAGAGGTTCCTTTAGATGAAAATTAACATCATTAACGCTGCCATTGTGACCAGGTAGCTTGTAAATTATACGTCGACTTGTAGTGTCCCAAATATAAACATATCGATCAGAAGAACCAGCAGATATCTAATAATTAAATATATAAATTTTGACATAATTAACAATATATTACATTCTTACCTTGCTGCCATCTGGTGACCATGAGCAACGTAATAGATTCTTTTCAAAGTTGTGTTGATGTCCTTGAAAAATTTTTACGCATCTTTCAACCGGAGCATAGGGACGCACATCCCAAATTCGAAGCGTATTATCCATGGAATTGGAAAGTAAATATGAACCATCTGGTGATAGCGATATGCCCGTTATTGTATCAGTATGTCCTCGTAATCGGTGCAACACCTGTTGATGCTTGCGTACATCCCAAATTTTTATTTCATTATCAATACCACCCGAGATCACTTGATCTCCAATATCATTGAAACATGCCGCAGTTACTTGATACGGCGATTCCATTGTGTGGACCGAATTCTTTTTTCGTGCATCCCAAATTCTTATAGTTCGGTCATCAGAACCTGAACACAACATTTGCTGGCCCCGGCGTGTACGATGTACAGTACTTACAAAATTTGTATGCCCCTTTAGTTTACGTACTCGCTGCCCCGTTACAATGTCCCAAATGGCAACAGTTTTATCAGTAGCACAGGTATACACATTTGATCCGTCCGTCGAAAAATGTGCTTCCAAAACCGCGCCGCTGTGGCCAGACATTACCATTACATTTTCACATTCGCCATACACATTCCAAACATCTGAAAGGTAAGGAGGACGTAATTAATTATATAAATCTCAATTTTTATTTACACTGACATATTTGTCTATCAAATCCCGACGAAACCAATATATCGCCATCCGGATGGAATTCAGTTGTAAAAATCTCTCCCTCATGACCTTCTAATAGCATTATTGGCGCCATTAAGTTAGATGTACGTCGAATACCCTAAAAATTTATTTATTAGAGATAATTGACATAAGTACAAGAATTCAAACCGATTCCATCAACGCCTTATCACGATTGGTGTATGCAATAATATCATTTTTGCTGCGTTTTGTATCGTGCGCCAACACTAAGCTTGTCCCCGGTCTTTTCGCACCCATATTTTATATTTAATCCTTCAATGAACAATTGATAAAAACTTGTATACGCGCTCTCATATAAAAAACACTTCAACAATACTTACGTTGCGCACGAGTAAATTTTTACGATATATCAACTACAGGGTGCTTCATATATTCCATTTTTATAACAGATTGAATAAGAATAATGAAAATATGTCCAATAAAAATTGCCAAATCTGTATACTTATCACTAAATACAATAATTGCACTACGCATTCCAAAGAACGTATATTAATATATTGTATAAAATGTATACGTTGTCAGTTGTCGTTCAGCTAAGTTTTACTGTTTTTAAGTTTTATTATTTTATTAATTACTGTAAAATTTAAAAATTTAGGTGATTTTGGCCAACTAAATTAGGTATTTTGTAATAGCTAATATTGATAATGGCAACTCTATGGAGGCAGGCTACAAATTTCTTTGGTGCTACAAAAAGTATTAGTCTGAATACGAATCTACATATGTATGTATGTAATTAAATAATGCTTCGATGCACTACTCCCATTAACAAGATTTTGATTTGCTTTTAGGGTAGTATAAGAATCAGTGATAATTATTTATTTTTAATAAATGTTATCTCTGACAAGAATGCTTAATCAGTACAGATACCATAATAATTATGATGAACTCCATAGCAACTGTTATTTGACCTTCATTTATTTATCGGTAGTTAATAAGAAAACATTAAAGTAAAATAATAGATAGCTAAAGTTCAGTGTTCAAAGAGTGGGTAAAATGGATGCGAGCTTTGTCAGTCAAATGTCCTGCATCTGTGTTGGACCGAAACGTGCGGGTAAAACCCACCTTCTTAAGGCACTCGAAAATCCGGATTCTATTGATGAGACAACCTATTCAATGCCAACAAATGGGACAAATATTTTTACAATCAATCTTTCAACAAAGCTTCCAAATGCATCAAACCCAACTGAGAAAAAACAGACAGATCTAACTGTTGAAAAGAACAGCAAGGACGTCTCAGGCGCCACAGAGCTAAAACATAAGAGGCCCAAGGCTCCATTAAAATGTATACGAGTTTTGGAAATTGGTGGTGCGATGGCACCACTCTGGCGACAATACTATGAAAAAGTGTCAAAAATAATTTACGTCGTCGACACTTCAAATCTTTGTCAAATTTCTGCCGCAGGTTGGTTAAGTGCGACGTAAATGTACATTAATTTTAGTTTAATCCTCATTTATGCCTTTTTGTATTTGAAGGGGTTCTGCTCTATTCTATATTGGCTGAGCCTCGATTGCAGCGCTGTCGGATTTTGCTAGTGCTAGCTAAGATGGATTACGCCTACCGGCAGATGCGCAATGAAGCTTTACTTATGCTACAAATATCCGTAAGAAATATGTACATATTTCGATTCAAAAAAATACAATTTTCAGTAGAACTTAGAAGTTCACACGCATATTTTTAAGAAAGTGAAGATTCAGTTTCTTAACGCAAAACTTTATACTGCTTCAACAACACTTTGAGCATTTCTATTAGTTTATAAGTTCATATCACTTTGCAACGGTAGTCTGTACTTAAGACAATTATTTTCATATATTCCTATTTTCTTTACTTTTTAGAAACTTCAAAAGGAAATTCGGCAACAGTTAACTATTGTGGAGGCTAGCGCCGTTAGCCACGTGGGTTTGGAAGCAATATACGCCTGGCTGCAGATTCCTTAGAATTTGTTAAGAAAAAAATGTCGGTACACATTCAAGTAAACTTTTGCACATGTAGTTATTTATTTCCATTAAACTGATCAAAATTGTTTACTCTAAAAAATAATGTACATACATACATGATATCAACTTCAATGTTTGCTGGATTAGGGTGCTGCAGGGCCTACTGAACCTTTTGTAGTTTTTCACGCTCATAGGTTAGAGTTTGTAATGGGCTTGCATGTATTTCAAATTGCTGTTGATTTCCGGACTGTTTCCCAGCACTTCCTTCGCTGCCTGGAGATACGATTTGGCGCGCATTAGATCGCCAGAGTGCGCTGCCAATACAGCCAAGTTATTAAGGGCGGCACCGCTGCACGCGTCCGCGGTTAGACAGAGCTGAAGACATCGACGAGCCAAATGAAAATCGCCAGTTGACTTGAAAGTAGATATTAGATATCCATTTATATATTAGATGCTTAGCCTACTAAGGGATTTATTTTAGACCCATTCTGTTACCATACATACATACCCTTATGTGAGTGATTAGATAAGTGTGTTAAAGATACTTACCAATGCGACAAAACTCATGTTGTACCATATGTCCGCTCTTTCATTGGTAGTCTTGGACAGCAGCAGAGCTCGCTGGAAACAAGGAAGTACCAGGTCGATTTGTCCCCCATACAAGCAGCACAATGCAATATTGCAATAGAGTTCTGCTGAGTGAATTCCCAAAGCCAGAATTCGCCTAAATTAAAACCATATTAGAGTTCGTTTGCCGGTATGGTATTTGACTCACCTGTAGTACATAAGGGCCATCTCAGGATTTCCATCGTAAAAGTGATTCAAAGCAATTGAAGCTAGCGCTTCGACATTTATAGGATTAAGCTTGGTTATGAGGCGATATATTTGCATTGCATTATCGGGATTGGACAGAGCATCAAAAATACGCCCTTGTTCGATGCGAAACGTGACATTGAATGGATGTCGATCCACAGCCATACCGATGAGTTCGAGTGCACGTTCGGGTTCACCCAGACGTTGATATAATCGTGATAACAGTAAAAACGTATCGGGATGTGGAAATACTGCCAACGATTGCACGAGAAATGTTTCTGATTTTCGTGGAGAGCGTAATATAAGCAGACACCGGCCTATTTGTTGGTCCCACCACCAATCTACCGGTGCACCCGAACGAGTAGAGCCAGATGTTCGCTTTTGTTTGTGCACCTCCATGACAGCTTCGCAAAGTGAATACGCCTTCTGAACATCCGATTCGTGATAGTAGAGGAATTGAAAAAGCGCTTTAATAAGTGCCTCTCGTTCGGCGTATATCGTGGGATTGAGGCGCGAAGCTTGATAAAGTTTTGCGGTAACATCACCCACCGTATATGCGGCGGCAGAAGAAGCACGAATGCGCGAGGCAGTACCACATCGGGATGCTGTACGGCTACCCATTGAAGAACCAGGTCGAGAAGTAGCAGTACCCGGCCGCACCTTGGAATATGGGCACGCCATGACTATTTCAATCCGAAATCTCAATAAGATCTATCGACTTACCATACCCGATTTGGGTCTCATGCTCTTATTGCTCTGCGCGGTAGCGGTGCGGCTCCCTTCGCTCAATGGTAGGTCATTTCTTTTTGCAGCTGTAGTGTGAGCTCGCAGCGTGCTTGTAGTTGGTCGTGGCATGAATGCTGTTTTAATTGAGGTACCTGGCCGGGCGGCTGTGGCAATTCGCTCCAACTCCACTTCCTCATTCTCTGTGTTCGTACGACCCCAGCATTAATCCAGCATTAAGCAGAGAGACCAATGAAAATATGAACATGTTTAAACAATAAAAAACAAAAACAAAGAGAATTCAAAAGATCACAAAGTACTCGAGCCCACATTTAAGAAAATGTAATATAATACGAGTGCACTAGCCGGAAAGTATGTGATCGTGTGTATAGGCTAGGGGCGGTATCAGGCTATGCAATAACCAAAATGTAGCACCACAGCATTATCACCGAGTATGTATGGCTATGTGTACGTACATGTGTATGAAAAAAGTAATAAGTAACGAGATGAAAATAAAAATTCAGGGTGATTGAACACGATGGAATGCAAGAAGCGTGGCATGAGTATTCGGGTATTGAGATGGTGTGCGGCTGCGCAACTGCCACGGCATGCCATGCCAACGGAATGCAGCTGAAATATTACAATGCAATCGTAATCCGTTAAGCCACTCAAGCTCGGAATTTTCAACATTCATGTCGGCTATTCACACATACATATAAAAATGCACAAAAGCACGCATTTACGAGACTGGTAAAAAGATAACGGCTCCGTTGGTGCATCGGTCAAAACCACCGTATATATTGAAATCTATTGGTAAGTCTTAAAGAATGGCTGCTCGGAAAATGTTCACATGGAAATCACCAGATTTGAACTTTTACACTTCGTTGTAGCAGCAAACCTGATTCCTGTTATATTTGATCGCGGCCCATGCCTTTACAATAGACAAATTTGTCGAAGCTAATCATTTGTACAATTTTCCTTGCCTTGACGAGTTTCTTGCACATATTTTATTGATTTTTAACAACTTGCTTGTTTGAATTAGGTAAAGAGTTCAAAACCACTCCTCATTTATCCAAGCAGAGTTAATAAAGGATTAAAGCATCTTCCGGCTTTAGGCAACTGGCGTTTCAGTAAACATTCCACTGCGCTACAGTTTAAGCTACTTGGTAACAGTGTTGAATATATTTATGTATAATTTGGCTACTGTGCAATTCCGCTCAACGGCAGTCAGATGCACACATTCATACTTACCCCCCTCGAAGGCATCGTCCGTCTCGAGATCGTCGATGTAGACGCGCTGGGTAAGCGCGCGCATTTTTAATTGCCAAACGCCCTCCATCATCCACGTGGGCATGCTCACTTTATTGTTATTACCATTGGTATTGCCATATTTTAAGTTGTTGCTTTTAAAGTTTTGGTTGTGGCTTCGCCCCTGCCTTGAGCCGCTTGTGAGATTCACGTTGTTGTTCTTGCTGTTGTTATTGTTCCTGACTAGGCTGCCGCTGCCGCCAACTCCCCTACTGTACTGTGCATCGGCCTCGTGGCTCTCCGACGAAGAGGTAAACATTTGCACATTCGTTTCATGGCCAGTGCGCAACATGCCATTGCACACCTCAACGCATTTTTCATATTTTCGCCGCCGAAACAGTGAAACCGCTTGAAAATACTGCCACTCGAGTGCGGCTATTGTTATCGTCGGCGGCAGCTGCGGCTCCAACTCCGGCTGGGACTGCGAATGTGTCTGCTGCATTGAAACTGACGCCATGGCTGTCGTGGCATTCGCACAAGCTGAACTCATGTTGTTGGCTGTGCCTATCAACATGCGCGTTGAGGGGAGCGATGCCAGGGGTGCCAACGGGGCCAAAGGAATTGCTGTCTTCATCCTACCGGCTGTGTGCGTTTTTTGTTGGTTTTGATTTAGTTTTTCGTACAATTGCCGCTCAGATCGTTGCCTATTCTGGGTTTCCTCTGCTCGATTTTTGTTTATGCTTCAATCGCTCTTTTCAATTCAATTGGCTTCACTGATTTCAGGCTTTATTGATTTAACCTGTTCGAATTTTAAACACCGGATATGAACTAATTTCAACAATTCGAAGGTCACACAATTTGATCCGAATTCCTAAGAAGCCATCACATTTTTCGCGAAGCTAATCGAAAATGTATTATTTATCTACTCTTTGTCCCCACATTTAATAAATAGTTATATTGTGTTCTTTAAAGCTTCGGAATTGTCAGTAAATAAAAACTCTTGTTTGGCCTTTTCCGTTGCCATGACGGCGCGATAGTTCAAGGTTGCGCCTACAGGGTGCTTATTCGTAATATTAGTCGTTTCCAATTCGAGACTTTTTAGCTCGCTGTGTTTGAGCCCTACGCCACTGTAAAAAAAATTACATGTGGAAGCAACCATATACGTGAGATCGACAGCACGGAGTATTTAGATGACACATTACAATGATATAACTGTTTGCTAGGTTCGATTCGATTCTTCCAGATTTGGCGAATCGAAGACAGCTATTCAAATGGTTCTTCATTTCGTTCGCCGCTTAATAGGCATAGCTAAGTTTGGAGCACATACTCGTGTGTAGAAAAATGCTATATTTTAAAATTTGAGGAAAGTAATTGGTTAAGAGCAGAAGTACAGAGAGCTTCATTAAATTTTTTAGACAACGTGTGCAACAACTGTGCGAGATGTGGTGATCAATCGATAGGCAGCTATGGATCACGTCTGAAAAAAAGATAATTGTAGTTTAAGAGGAATCACTGCGGATTGCTCAGTTTAGGGGCCCGTCGAGATGTACATATGTAAAGCTGAGCGGCTTTGCTTGTTAAAGGTATGCATGTATGTATGGGTAATGTTCAACAGTACGAATGTCGTCAGTATTTCCATCTCTCCGTAGCAGAAGCTTGCTTTTGAACTTGATCTTTCAAACGCGGTTCTTGCTGAACGGACTGCTACTGTTGGAAGCTGGATTCTCTCTTAACATGAGCATGTGGCATGTGCGATCTAAACGTCTCTTCAAAAGGGGCAAAGTGATAACTTTAATTTTCTCGGCAAGGCAAAGGAGTATTGGCAATAGAATCCGATAAAATCTATGCCAACTTGTCCCAATTGGCAGACGCTGTATGTGCTTGCGAATTAAAATGCTGCGCCTGATGCTTTGTTGTAAGCGGAGCGCATTAACATGAAACTGCTACTGTGCAAGAATTGGTGTTTTTCTTTGATTTTTAAGACCAGAGTCGCCAGCCAGAGGGCGAAGCGTACAAGACACAGAGTAGCTGCAGATTGGCAAAACAAACAAAAGAGATGGGGGACTAAGGCCAGCCCGTTTCCTTGACGTTTGTCATGTGTTGCGTATGCGCAGTTTAGCGGCAAAAGCGTTATGCAGTAGCAGCAATTAGAGGCATACATAAATACCTTTATATATGTACATAAGTATATGGTTAGGATATGTGGATGGATATATGTAAGTTCGTATGTTGTTACGTACATGTAACATATATAATTACACACATATATATGTATATAATATGCGTAAATTATGAATTGTGAACGCCCTCGTTTAGTATTTTGCAAATGCA